TTTTATTACTGAAGAGATAGATACTACTAATTAAATTAATAATATTTCTAATGAGTTGGAATTAATTGATCTACATCGAAAGCGAAGAAGCAGAAGCACAAGCAGAAGTAGAAATAGTAGTAGTTAGAAAAGGGGGTATAAGGAGAATAAGGAAAATTCCTATTGGACTCTCGTTTTCTGGAAGAACGATTCGCGAATCTGAGTTTCCCAGCGAAGCTACCGATTCTAAGCATCCAGGGACGAAAAGCAACTATGGTAGGAGGCCAGACACGGCGATCGGTTCGAACAATACCCATTGTCCAGCATATCATTTTCACGATTTTCCATCGGTCGACTTTCAACCGAGGAAGACTTCGTTCGGAGCCACCGATGAATATCGTTCCTCGATTTTCACTACTGCTACAGTACCAGCACCTTCTCGTTTCTCTTTGGTAAACCGCTCGAGCGGATAAAACGAACACAATGCCTTTTGTTTCTCATCTTCAACGCCTATCGATGCGGAGATTCGTCATCCTCGAAGAATTGATTTTTTGATCAGTTTTTCGAATCCTCTTTTTCATTGATAATAAATCAATTTCTCAATTTCTCAGTACTCATATTCTTATTTTCTTCGTTTCCCTTACTGTACCTACTGTTTGCTCAGATTGTTGTGTGAACATAATACTTTATAATATATTATTATTACATGTGTGTGTGTGTGTGTATAATTGTAATTATTTCTACAATTTATTCTTGTATTTATGCAACAATCGTATTTTGTAATTATAAATTATATATATAATAATTATATTATCTATTACATATTATTTTACTATTGAAACATAATAAGCGAGAAATTAATTCGGTATTCTTCGTTTTAAAAGTACAGATCATCATGTTTATAAAACACGATCTAATTATTGAAAGAAAACAATATATTCTTCTTTTATTTTTGATTAAAAATTATTCGATAATAATGTAGATGGTCAATAACATTTCGATATAAAAATTCGAAAAACTTAAACAATTATTAAATGAAGCTCTTCTCAAATACAAGAAGAATTTGTTTTACAATATGACATGATCCAAATACAATTTAAAAAGAACATCGAATTAATTTCTATACCTGATAAAACGATAAATCTTCACAGAATATTGTCACAGTCTCAAAAAAAAGTGTTCCAAATATAAATGTCTCGTTACATATGTTATTATTCAAACTAATAAAAAACTCACTTACTAACAAAATACAAGATACCCTTACTGTTAAAGCAATTGTTTTAACCCTTTGAATATTTCATCCATACTAAAGTATCATACAGATAATTTAAGATAATTTAAAATAATTAGTTTAATAATTTACTTACACATTGAAAGTTCAAAGAGGACATGTTAAAATATATTGAATAAAAATACATATTTAAAAATGAATATATACGTACATTTTCTCTAATTTGTGTACATGCTCGTCCGATATTAAACAATGCTTCATAAAATGATTTTGAAAAATGATTCTTTCACATGATGAAATTTGCATCAAAAAGCACATCGCGATGGCTGAAATTGTGTAAATCGGGTGACTATAGTTCAGTTGTGAAAGTTCGGCAGATAGGTGTTAAACGAGAAGGAAGACTATAGAAGTAGAAAAAGCGAGGGAAGTTCGTCTTCCTCCAAAATTCTGGAATGACGAGTAATCATAATTTCGACAGAGTCAGTAGTATTCCGAGATTGAGATATATAATAAGCCTGAGGCTGCGTTCACATCACAGGGAGACAGTCCGATACGAGTGAGTAGGTACATTATACAAACGGAATACCTACCCCAACCTATGCCAACCTACCCGCCCATTGGCATCAAACCAACTACCACTACTATCATCGCTACCGCCACTACTCACCCTCTTATTGCGTGACTGTATCCTTGAGAGGTACTCCCACTATCTACAGGGTGATTTTCTTGAAGTATTTCCTTGTAACGACACTTCGTTTGCATAGTTTCGTTTAGAAGCCACCTGAAGGTTCACTGCATTTCAGATAACTGTGGTAAAAAAAAAAGTAAAATTTTATTACTCTATACTTGTGAGTATATACTTGTTTATCATAAGTCTACCAGTTTTATCGTTTTACCATGTAACTTTATAAATTTGTGTGAAATACAAATTTTTTGAAAGAGACTTTTTGTGTTATTCAGTAGTATTAGATTCGCACAATGCAACAAACATAATATTGGAGATCTTAAAGCTTACTTATTTATTATGTTTGTTCAAATATATATCAACATTAGTTTTATATCTATTGTGTAAATTGCTTCTCTAATAAATGTCCAGTTCCAATTTACTCTTGTTAAATATTGAATTTCTATAATTTAGTAAGTAAATAATAGTCCAACAATTTTCATGTATAATTGTTGTGTTCATAAATTTTCACAGAATCAAAAATAATCGTTATTATTATAAAGAGAAACCAATTGATGCTTCTTTTGTGTGTTTCATTATTTATTGTCGTAAACTCTTGATTTTATCATCGTATTATTAATATGAATTAAATAAACAAGTAATAAATGTTTCGTGCTTAATATAAAAATACTAAAATCAATGCAATACAATAAAATAATAAAAATACATAGAGAATTCTGAATTCTATCTATTAATTTCTATCTATTAAGAAAATATATTTATCTTATTTTGATTTAGTATGTATTTAGTATAATGCAATTGGAAATTTTTTAAGTACTCTTCTTATATTTTAATTAGCGGTCAAAATAGACTGCTTAAAACCATTTATTTTTTTAATTATTTGAAATATTAAATTATTATTAAAATTATAAATAATATGATTTAAAAACATACATTGTATAATATCTATAAAAAAAAATTTTGATGAAATTGAGGTTGTAGCTACAATCTTCCAAGATGTGCATAAGTCAATTGATCATCGATCAATTATCATATTGAGAAAAAAAAAAAAACTGAATAAAAACTTATAATTTTGGATTAATTAAATCTTTACTTATATCTTACTATGAAATATATTTTTAAAATAAGCTCGGTTATCTACAACATGATAATTACTATTGACAATACCTTGTTCTTTTTATGTTTTTTTAAATGTCATCATTTTTTATTGAATACTTTTAATATTTTTATAAAAATCACTATTTTATTTAAAGTAGCCTTAATTCCATTTCAATACGATTAAAAAGGAAGTTTGTGAAGCGTCATCGATTTATGTTTATACATCCTTCTATAATATCGTCGGAGCGTCCCCGATACAACGTCCCTTTAAAATATATATGTCATCAAGCACAAAGTGTATCATCTTATTGTTACGTGTTATTATTATTGAAAATAAAAAAGGTAATTTCAAGGTATGCCACCCGTTAGATGCGCCTACAGATATACTGATACGACAAAGAATTGATACGTTCCTTTCGTAAACGTCTCTCTTTTTTTCTTTCTCTTTCTCCTTTTCGAGCAAGAGTACCGATAGACCGACAATGAAGCACATCTGTAGGTACCACGAAACAATGGCTACCGAGATTGTGGAACCTATTGCGGATAGTATTCCATAATATACCCTGTTGTTTCCGCTCCCTCGGATAGAGCTACCAGTGCTCGATGAAAATATATGGCCCTCTTTCCAAGGTCTATCTAAACTGACACTAGCTACGCTTGTTATTTCTCCATGAATTTTCTTTACACCTTTATTTTTAAATTTTCCATTCTTATTATCATGATGACATCCATCGTTATGTTTAATTGAAAGTTTCGTAAACAACAGCAATCGTGATATCGTATTGGGTTTGTCCCAAATGAAATAGCTGAATTCATTGTAAAATTTCTAGCATTCCGCTAGTTTTCTATCATTTCTGAAAATAATATTAATCAAATAAATATTTATTATAAGAAATAGATTGCTGTAAAAATCACGCTTAAAGTTTAATACATCACGTTTAAACAAGTGCAAGGATTGCATATTTAATAATATTGCATCATTCATGGAAAAAATAGATCAAATAACAGAGAATAGACGGTACAATCTGGAAAAGCATTTAAAATCACACAATTTCACATAAATTTTGATTAAATAAATCAATATTGAAAATTTATTACGTATTAACTGTGCATAATAACCATATACATATATTGACAATAATGTAAAATACATAATGTAAAAATATAATACAAATAAAAATCTACTGATAAATAACATAAGCTGAGTAAAGCTTATATAGTTAATAAGGATACATAAATTTTCTCAATAGCATCAAATACCTACATGTTTGTAAATGATAGAAAAACTTTTTAAAAAAATTCATTCCTTTATCAGACATTCTTTAACAGATATAAGAAATATTTATTTATTAAATCCCCTATAAGAAATATTTATTAAATATTATATCAGAGGTTTAAGATCTCTATAAGAAATATTTATTTATTAAATCTATAAACCACTTTTTCATATATTCCAGATAGTATCCCTGTACGGAAAACAAATGAAGTCTTCCAGAATCGTGTAATTTTTTTAAATCTAAACGATCCTAAAAAAAAATTGCTTTATTAATATATCCATAAAAAATTTAGTTTTGTAATTGAAATTATTTGTTACAATTGTATTATTCACAATGCAAAAATTATAAATTATAAATTATAAATGATTTCTTGAAATATTCGTTATAATTATGGATTGTAACCATACGAAAATCAATTAATTTTCTTAGATATTATTTCGTTGTAATAATATAATTTTAATAATACATTTTAATATAGTACCTTACGATACAAGCTCAGATTGTTCTAATTATTTCAATTGATGATGTTTGTCCTGTTTTATAGAATCCAAATAATTCTGATTCTGGAGAATGAACAATAGAATCGTTAATAAACTTAATTAATCCTATGGTATGTAATTTCAGAAAATTCTCCTTCAACATTATTAGATTCAAGATTCTGCAAACATTATTAAAAAAGTATAACTTTCATTTGTTAGGGTCAAAACATTTCTTTATAATTTTATATTAAAATTTATATTTATATAAATACTTATTCATTGTTTAGGGTCAAAACATTTCTTTATAATTTTATATTAAAATTTATATTTATATAAATACTTATACACTTTTTTTTATCTTATGTATTAATATACAAAACAAAATAATACATGTTCATTGTCTTTGTCTATTTGTTTAAAAAATTTAATATACATATATCGAATGAGATTTACCGAAAAAAAGTAGAAAAAGAATAGCTGCTTTTTAGTCTCTCTTTTTCTGGCAAAGAAATTCACACTGACGCGACTTGAAAAAAAATGGCCTAATCACTACCTATCTTTCTTTTTTCTTTTGTTTCTCTCTCATTCTTTATATTTCCGCGAGTTTTTGGCATACGTTAGTTTTATGTACTGAACTTCAATAAATAGGTACTTCTAATCTATTATCAAATCCCTAGATTAATAATTTAAGAATATTACAAGTTACAAAATGATTGTAATTTTTAATACAATACTGTTATAATTTACTTTAAATTAATTTTAGTACATCTGTATATTTTAATACATTTAAAGGGTCATATGTAAGCCCCGTACCGTACCGGAACTCCATAATATTTCAGGCTCAATAAATAATATTAGATGATATATTTTATAATATATAATAATATTAGATGATATAAATTACACACATAATATTGCATAGATGATTATTTACATAAATTGCCAAAATAAAATAGTAGATTATATTATATAAATTGCAAAAATAAAATAGTAGATTATATATATATAGATTACAATAATCGTAGTTGATTATTTTTATTTTTTTAATCGTAGTTGGAAATAATAGTGGAATCACTATTAATAAATATTTTTAGTACGAAATTGTAAAAACTATTTAGTCATTACTTGCAATTCTAAAAAAAAAAACATAATATATGTATATAACATATATGTTTATAACATATAATAAAAAGATGGTTTGATATAAAAAAATCAAAAAAAAATTCAATATAATGTTTAAAGTTTATAGTTACATATATATTTATATGTAATAAAATTTTTATATTAATTACGTACTGATATTGTTTATAATATTAAGGGTTATAATATAAAATAAATGTATATTATTGAAATTTTTAAATAAATCTATTTTAATTTTCCTTTATTTTTTAATACCTTTTCCTCCAGCGTTTTAAATCTATATAAGTATGTAAAATACGTGTAATTTAAATTCAAATGTATAAATTGTTTATTTATTTTTTTTTTTATATAAATTGTAATTCCTATAATAAATGATAAATGATGATTTAATAATTGCTGTGATTTTATTTATTATTGAAAAATATAATGAATATTTAATTTTCATTTTAATTCTTATAACTATTAAAAACAGATCTATTAAAATTTAACGTGATTAGAATAAACTCATATGATAATTGATATGACACATAACCTAGAAATATTGAACTTTCAAAATGACACAGAACGTTCTGTTGTGATTATTACGTACAATAATTATGGAAATGTATAAACATTATAAATTCAATTTTTAATTTTTGTGATTTCATATTTATTGTAATTTTAAAAATTCAACACACTATTGTAATACGTGAAAAAGTAAATTAATTACATCAGGTCAATTTATATTACAAGAGTAAGGATTTTTAAAACAAGCATATGTAATATTTATGTATATAATTCTTCGAAAAAAAGATTAAAGACATTTTAATTACAATATTTTAAAATAATTGAAATATTTTGAGATAAAACACACTTGTTTTAAGCTTTAAATTGACCAGTAATAAATATTGAACAATGCTTTTGATCAATATGATTATTTAGAATCATTGAGTTCCGTATGAGTTTGTGAAATCAAACATTTTATATGCAACAATTTAATAATGCACGATGAAACAAGTGTAATACAAACAAACAAATGATTGCTCATTTAATAATATTATATCATTAATGAAAAAAAAGTAAATGTCATCAGATACAGGAGGTTATCAAATGGCTGGTATAACCTGGAAAATATTTAAAATCACAATTTTACATAAACTTCGATTAAATAAACCAAAATGAAAAATTTATTGGATATATTACATACATAATAACTACGTAGAAATATAGTACAAATAAAATAAGTTAAGTAAAATTATATAATTATATAAATACAAATTTAAATTTTTGCGATAATATTGAATACCTACATGTTTGTAAATGATTAAAGAGCTGTTTAGAAATACTAAACAATATTTATTGTTGTGGAAGAGTAATTAGTTCTTGAAAAATTCTTTCATCACAGATACTGCTATTAATTTTTATAACAAATATTTGTTTATTATATTATCGATGAACCAATCTTCTGTAAATTGCAAATGATCTCCATCTATGGAAAGAAAATGAAGTCTTCCAGTATCATGTAATTTTTTTAACCCTAGGCGATCCTAAAAAAAAAAACACTACTTTATTGATATATTCATAAAAAAATTAGTTTTACAATTGAAATTATTTGCTACAATTGTTTATAATGCAAAAGTAATTATAAATGATTTCTTGAAGTACTTGTTATAATCATGCATTGCAATCATACTTGTAATCATGCGAAAATCAATAATTTTCTTGAATATTATTTCGTTGTAATAATATAATTTTAATAATACATTTTAATATAGTACCTTACGATACAGCTCAGACTGTTCTAATGTTTCAATCGATGATGTTTGTCCTGTTTTATAGAATCCAAATAATTCTGATTCTGGAGGCCAAACAATAGTATCATTAATAAATTTAACTAACACCATGGTATGTAATTTCTGAAGATTCTCCTTATACGACTAGAAAAAATTTAAACATTATTTAAAACTTATAACTTAATTCAAGTTATAATTATTATGAATCATGTTTAAGGGTAAAATATCTTTCTTTATATTTACATAAAAATTTTATATTTATATAAATACACGCTTTTTTTATCTTATACATCAATATAAAAAAGAAAATAATAGATATTCGATGTCTTTGTCCATTTAATGGATTTAACATAGAAAATATCAAATGAGATTTATAGAAAAGGATAGAAGCAAAATAGCCGTTCTTTAATCATTTATTTTTTAGTGAAGAAGACGCAATTTAGAAAAAAGGCTCTAATTACTATCTATCCTTCTCTTACTTTTTGTTTCTCTCATTCTTTATATTTCCGCAAGTTTTTGGCATACGCTAGTTTTATATACTGGGCCTTATAATAGATTAGCAATTTACTAAAAGTATTTACTAAAAGTATTACAAATTACAAAATGATTGTAATTGTTAATACAATAATGTTATAATTAAAATTTAATTTAAATTAATTTTAGATAACTTACCTCGTTAATATAACGTTCATTGTTGATGTCAGCTAAAAATATACTTTTCTCTTTATATTCTTCTTCTCGGTATGGATCATGCCAATAGGTAGCTTGAACAAAATTTTCTTGGACTGTGCTACAATGAAAAAAAAATAATTTTATACCGTAAATAATCAGCTGAGATTGAAATATTCATCCAATGCTTACGCATTAATTGTTTAAATGAATGTTACAAATTTTAAAAAATAAAAGTAAAAATTAATAGTAAATACTTTAAGTAAACTCCATATTTGATCACGCGATTTATATAGTCGCAAATTATATGATTCGATGTTCCACAACGTGGTAAGCCAAAAACGCCTTGATGTTGGCCACCCAAAGAAATAAAATTTTTAACTGAAGGATTGGGACATCTTTGAATTACCGTTCGTCTGCAATGTATAATAGTAAATAGTAACTACAATACTATGATTAATACTTATATATATCGAACATATAAATATCTATGTATAAAATATTGTAAATTTTTTTTCCAAATCATTTGCGTTATATGATTTTATTAATCTTCTCCCAACTTACAGTAATTGAGCTCCTTGAGAAAATCCAATAGCATTATAACCATTTTTAAGACGATCATCCTTTATCAATTGTTGACAAACGTTTTGTATTTGCTTATTAACATTTCCAAAATAACTATGTTCGACGTCCTAAAATGTTATAAATAAATGCCAATAAAATATCAGTAATATATCTGTCTTCTTTTGTTTTTTATGAGAGATTTTATAAAATTAAAGTTAAGCCATTTACTAGAGTAATAAGTTTTCAACATGAATTATTATTATTTTTATAGAGAATGTTGAATTACATCGATTAATAGATCAAAAAATATATAATTCTATTTAAAAACGTGTAGGTGACCTAGACAACTCCAAAAACCACTCAAAATCTCCATCCAAAAAAAACATTGCTACCATATTATGACCCTTTATACTGAATAACTTTTATTGACGACATTTTTTCATATCTCCAAAATTAACAAAGATACTCAAGGTGTTAATTCTTTTTGGTGTTAATTCTTATTGGACTACTCTATACTAATAAACTTCTGAAATTATTTATTTTCATTAAACTCTTAAAAGTAGTTTGAATATCGATTCATATATTGTCCAATATGTGTAATAAAACTGTAATGCTATTACAATATTTAAAATTACAGAAATACTCGCCTCTATTTCATTATTTCCTAATCGAATAGAATACACATAAATACCAGGTATAGTATTCTCTATTAATTTTTTAATTGCCCCCAAGCTAAATGAAAAACAGCAACTGTCTCCTGAAATTTATACATTTTATGCTTGAGTTAAAAAAAAAATATATATATATATATTATATGTATAAATATATTATATAAAAAGAATGAAAATCTTTACCCATTCCATGCCATAAAACAACCGGAAGGGAATCAGCTCGAACGTCATTAAATTGAGTTATATACAAACAAAAAAATAGCAGTAGAACATGTTTTCTCATTGTAAACATTATATCACTTTTTATATGCAAATGGAGTGTATATTATTCCTATAAGAGAAAAAAATTGTATAGTAGTATAAAGTATTATCTTTATATTATTATTTTCTCGGTGGAATATTTTGGTCAAGAATTTTGGTATGTGCAAGCATATTTTTCAATTCTATGTAAGAAATATCATTGAATATACTATTATGCATATGTAGGTAATATGCATGCATATGTATGCATATATAGGTAATATGTATATTTGTAGGCGTATATGAATGTATATATAAGATAAATATTAATAAATATAAAATAAAATAAAAAAAATCGCATTTCTTATATTTGTATATCCATGAGAAAAGATAAAAATAAATTAATAAATATAAGATAAAAAAGATCATATTTCTTAATAACCTTAATGGATCGGAATAAAACTTAAAAGATATAGAAAAAAAGACATTCATAAAAAAAATAATGAATAATTTTCTATTCTTAAGATATTGCTTCTTAATTACGTGAATTATTGTTTTTTAATATTAATAATTTCCTGCATTTGATTTTAACATCATTCTGTTATTAAAAATCAACGAGAAGTTTCAAAGGAAAAGTTATATAATTCTAATTTGATATTTCATGTCAATGATAAGATTCAGGCCTTTCATTTTCCCTTAAATTTTCTTAAATTCCTGTTTCAGTAGTCAAAACCTATTAATTCTCAAATCTGTTTTCATTGTATTTCTTTCCTCAAGATGAATTTGAGCAGTAATTAAATTTTAGTTTCTGATGATCGCGATAGATATTAGAGATATATTTAAAGATATGTACCGTACAAACATACTTTCGTTATCTTCAATCAGTAGAACAATTTAGTTGTAAATTTAGTTAATATTATAATGATCATATTGCACTTCTTTTTTTCATAGACCATAGAAAAATTTTAAAACGGTGGTAAATACCATTCTTTTGTGAAATGGTTTTCAAATACTTAATAGTTTTTAAATACTTTAATAGTTTCGTTTCGAGATGGATTTTATCTATTAGGAAGGCGAAAATATGATTAAAATGATAGGATTCATTTTAATAACAGAAATATATCGCAATAAAGACAAGTCTATCTACGTGTATTTTTATAAAAATTAAAAATATTGAAATTATGAAAATATTTTTCAAATGCTTTCAACTCTTTCAGTAAGAGAAAAAGAGGTACAATAGACATGCAAAAATTACTTACAATTGCCATTATTTTACAAAAATTTCACTTTCTATGTTTATTTTTTACAATATTATAATTAATTAAATGACATAATAAATAATTACATGCTATTTCGATTGATTACGTTATAGAATTAATAAATTAAATATATTATTCCACTAATGATATTTAAAAATGGAATGAATGAAAATTGTTTAATTTTGCAATAAAAGAAAAATTACATTTCCATGTACGCAAAATTATATTTCCATTTTTGAAATAAAAACTTTACCAATATTAATAATAATTTTAAGCAAAAAAAAAAATTATATTTTATTAATATTATGAGATAAAATAAATCTTATTACAATAAGAATTCTATTTATATCTTACTATAATAAGAAATGTTTACTTTTATTTAAACTAAATATTATAGTAAAATTTCATATATAATTTTTTATATGATTTATTCTTCAATATTAGCGGTTTAGAAATTAATTACAATTTCTTATATGTAATTTTAAATTGCAACAATAAAATTCTGTTTTAATAAATTATTTCAATTTTTCAAATTCGTGAATTTGTATCTAATTAAATAGAATCAAGAATACATAACAGTAAATTTTTTAAATATTTAGGAAATAAATACTTTTAAAGAAATATAATAACAATTTTATGTAATTAACTTTCTACTCTGATTACATAAATGTTAAAACATACATATAAGTACATAATACATCTATATTTAATAATAACACAAAATAATTATTCTAGTTTATAATAGTCAATAATTATTTTAGTTATGATAAATATTTATGCAGTATATTATTTTTAAATTAGATGTCTCATTTGCACAGTTGTAAGACAATTTTAAAAATATGCATGTTAAATACTTATTTATAAAACTTGTTTTCGTTGCTTAAAGAGAAGTTAATAATATAACATTATAATGACTTCAAATTTATCATTAGCTATTTGTTTATTTTTATTTAACAAACAATTGACCTACGCAGTGAAAATCAAATTGATTTTAATAAACAAGTTTATAGGTTATGCAAGGTTATCTTAAACTTATAATACTGGAAATTCGATACAATTTAATGAAATACATATTGAACTATAACAAATAATTATTAATTATACGTACAATAAAATCAACTAATGAAACTTACTAATTCAATATAAACTATGTATCCGACAAACCGTATAATGTTGAGAGCAAATTACGTTTTAGTGAAACTTAACTTGATAATTATGTGGTACAGTACAAAAAGTTTAAATAGTATGTATATAGGTATCGGAGTACCAAGAATTGGATATGACATAATAGGTTAATGCAATATTTATTGCAATAGATTCCAACACATTTGTCATTCGAGGAATTTAACAGTTTATATACATAGATTACAATATTGCATAGATGATTATCTACATAGATTACATTAATCGTAGTTGATTATTTACAGAAATAATAGTAGAATCACTTTAAACTTAATATTTTTAATACGAAATTATAAAAGCTATTTTATCATTGATTGTAATTATAAAAAAAAATATGTATATAATGTGAATAAAAATATGATTTCATATAAAAAAAATGAGGAAAAAATTCAATATATAATGTTTAAAGTTTATGATTATACATATAGTAATACACAAATATATAATAAAGTTTCTATATTGATTAAATATTGTTTATGATATATTAAATAAATGTATGCTATTAAGATTTTTAAATAAATTTATTTTATTATTTCTTTTTATTTATCTTAATGTTCCTTCTTTTAATCAACCTAATAATAGTTTTAATATTCCGGCTTTTTAAATCTGTGTATATATATATATATATATAATTTACATTTAAATGTATGAATACGTAATTTACATTTAAATGTATAAATAACTTATTTATTTTTTTTTTAGAAATTGTGATTGTTATAATAAATGATAAATGATGATGTTTAATAATGGCTGTGATTTTATTTATTATCAAAAATATAATGAATACTTAGTTTTCATTTTAATTATTATATTATAGAATTATTAAAAACAGAAGTAATAAAATTTGGCAAATTTAAAAATTAAATCTAGACATAATCTGTGTTAACTATACAAGTTTAATTTACTATACTTACACATTAATATGTAAATATCTATCATAAATTAAATATCAATCAATCAAACTCTGATTTAATATATATACATATATATATAATTTTACCTTATATATATATATATTTATATATTTGTAAGTACATTGTATATTTAAAACTTTTAAGACTTACTATAAATATAAAAAATAGCACTATACCTACGTATATATATTACTTCAAAGAAAAATAATAATAGATCGCATTTACTTTCATTGTATCAATATGTAGAGATATGTCATAATTTAAAAAGTTCATATTTAACAAATTTTTAATCGAATCTTAAATGTTTTTTTCTTTCTAATTTTCAATTAAATCGTTTGTTCATACTTGTTTGAAAAAGGATAAAATGAAAACATAATATTTAAAAAATTTAGATCTTAATAGAAAATTTACGTCACATTTCAATAACGTCACGCGTGATTAGAGTAAACGCATATAAGATAGTTGGTATGACACATAACCTAGAAATATTTAACTTTCAAAACGACTTGTGCAGAACGTTTTGTTGTGATTATTATGTAAAATAATTGTGAAAACCTTTAAACACTATAAATACAATTTTAATTTTTACAATTTAATATTTATTTTCAAATTTCTCCTATCGATTTTAAAAAAACATGACCATTTATTTCATAACTTTCTGCATTTATAAGAAAACTCATGTACAATTTAAATCAGCATGTGTGTAATTCTGCATTTTCAGAAAATACGTTCTTAGCAGAATAATTGTGAAAATTGTAAATATATCAACAAATATATGCCTATTTTCTTTAAAATTTAAATTTAATGTTTGTATTAAGTGATAACCTTGGAAAGTTTGAGACAAAGATATAGTTGAAAAAAACTGAATGATTGGAATAAATAACTCTTTAAAAGGTAATTTAGCAAGATATATTTTATTAATATAGTTATTAGTGTTTAAGTAATTATTAATTCCATGCATTTATAGGATGTTTTTGCAAAATAATGATTGTTGTCCAAATGCAATTATTTTTATTAATCAATAATAAAAGTAATTTTAAAATACATGAAGAAAAATAGAGAAAGATCTTTTCATTGCCATGTGAAGACTAGCTTTGTTATTTAAGGTTGGTAAATTCATTTGAAATTACTATAAAATTATTTATTATTTTATGTCACACATTGTATATTACAGTATATTATGGTGCATTTATTAAATTATATCGTATATAATATTTTCTATAATATATTATAGTATTAAATTTTAATAATTAGATAATCATGGACGAAAGGAGGGTTGCAGATTACTTTGTTATTGCTGGTTTACCTGGACAAGACAATGATTTTGATAATGATAATGAAAACGACCAGTTAGAAGATTGGTATCAAGAAGGAACACATGTAAAAGACATGACTATGAAACCTCCTATCACTGATCTTGCTATTATATTTCCAGCATTGGGTGAAAAATGCCCAGAAGGATATGTTTTGCTAGAACATACTGTTTCAGGCTTACCAGCAGATTTAAATCATGGAAGTTTAAGAACAAACGAATGTTACTTATGTTACCGCCGAGGGCGTGATAAACCGCCATTAGTAGATATAGGTAAGGTAAAAAATTAAAAATTAAAAATATTAAAAATCTTTATTAAGTATTTTTTCTAATACTATTTAAAATTAGTAAATGAGAATAAAAAATTTAGCAAATGAAATTAAAGATTCTTGTTAATTTTTAAATTTCAATTTTATTTTAAAAAGTAAAATTTTGTGGCTAGATTTATGTGGCTAGATTTATGTCATATAATATTTGAATGTAATTAAAACTATTCTCTGTGTTATTAAATTTATACATAAAAAATTACAGTTATTATGTTTCTAGGATAACCATAACTTGGATAACTTTCATTTGCAAAATCAATTTATTCATGTTGATTGATATGTAATAAAAGAAATTGTATTTAGTTCTTAATTATTAATATTTGAATTTTTCCTCATAAATATATGTCTTATTATATTTTGTTCATATTATAATATATTATTATATGTTTCGTATTGCATATTTATGCAACATGTTTTATAAGTGTGTAAATTCTATTAATTGTACATGTTAATACTTTTTAATCTTTATATTTAAAAAATATATTGTAATTTAAAAATCTCAAATAACATGTCATATATTGTAATATGTGAAAAAGCTAGTTAATTATATTTAGTTTAATTTACATTGCAAAATTAATGCAGGATTCTTAAAACAAGAATGTGCAATATTTATTATTTATGCATATAAATTTTCAGAAACAAAAGATTGGAAATATTTCAAATAAGTAAAATATTTTCTGTTTTTAAGAAAACAGTGTTTTTTCAAGTCAATTTTCTATAGTATATGAATATTATAAAATATGAAATTAAATTTTAATTTTTAATGAAGTATATGTATTTCTGAAATAATAATAGAAAACAATTAGATAGAATCATTAAATTAGGTATCATAGTTCTTCATCCTTCCAGTTTTGCATCTATTTGGAAAATTATGCAAAACAGAATTATTTTACTCCAGTTGAATCCAAGGGAATATATGTAGTACGATTAGTAATAAATAGATTTGAAATCCTCTAAAAAATATATTCAGTTTTGTAAGTAATGTAGGTATATGGTAAATCATTAAAAATATATCATTTTAATAATTTTGTTGAATACTTTAAAAAAAATATGTTAAAAGAATTTAAAAAAAAAGATATTGGATTAATAAATTGTTATTGACATGTTTCTTATTCAAATAAAAAACATCAGTGCAATTCATTTGTAATAGGTATTATTCAATATATCAGCATATTTATATTTATATTTTATTGTACTTTACATGTAAAAATTGTACACTTCTTTTTTATAATTTTAAATATATTTTTTATCCAATATGATTTACTATCTATTTTTGCAAGTGTTAAAAAGAGTATTAAGAAAGCCGCGAAATTTACTATTTGTATTGTATCAATATTATATTTAAAAAATAGTTTATTAAACAATTATTTTAAGTATGTAGTATTTTTAAAAAGTATTTTTTTTTAATTTTAAAAATAAAAGAAACTTGTTTACTAATTAATTTGATTAGTAAACAAGCTAAGCATTAATATTTATTTGACTTAATTTTTGTTTTATAAAGAAATACTTGTCTATTTTTCTTAATATATTTATCTACTTTATGATATAAGAATATAATATATTTTAAATAACTGAATTATATTTGATGTTATGAAAAAGAAGAATGTGTAATGCATAAAATATTTATATTATTATAAAAAATATATTGAAATATTAGTTACTGTATTGATGTTTATATAACAATTGTTAGAACTAAAGTCTTTATTATTTATATTGTGGATATAACATTTTAAATTTCATAAAAGAATATTGCATATTCTTGGTATCATCTTAAAGTAGTGTACTGCATAAAAGTTAAATTCATACATACGATTCATTAGTATTCTTAATAAAATAAGATATTTTAAATACAAGTCAGTAATGTTATCTAAATAAATACTATTTTGTTTAAATTAAAAAAAGCAAGGAAAAATATGTATTTTTTAATTTAAGTATATTAATAATGTAATAAGTGATAAATTTATGCAATTATAGCGTGATATTTCAGTTATATTTATAGCAGTACAGTTATTTATAGCAGTACAGATATTTTTTACCATAATAGTTATGTATATGTTATGTGTTATATTTAAAAAAAAAAGAATCATATGTTATATTTATTCATCTTGTTGTTAAATATATTTCTTTTTTCATTTATTTTTAAAATTTGTTTTTGTTCGTTATTGTATATTGAAAATTTTGTGATGTAATAGGTACTATTATTTATAGAATTATGTACTATTATTTTACGATTGTTAAGTAATATTTGTTACAGGTGTAATATATGATGGTAAAGAACGTATAATGCAAGATGCCGAAATGATATTAGAAACACCAAAAGGACACTTAGCTAATGTGAATAACTCAGCAGCAAGAATATTTGTGACATATAGACGAGCAAGTCGTAAAATGCCATGCAACTCATTAGTCGTGACTGACATTTGTGTAATATTGACAAATAAAGGAGAAACTCCTCCACATGCATTCTGTGTTATCAATAAAAATTTGAACAAAGGCATGTTGGGTAGTGATGTGTTTCTGTGCTATAAGAAATCTATGAATCGGGCAAATTTAATATCTTTTAAACCTACAATATTATATAAATATCCAATAGTTGATTACAGCAGTTTTATCTTCCCAAATTCTGTGGCAATGTTTTGTTTGCCAATGGGAGCAACAATAGAATGTTGGCCTAAAGTGGCATGTAAACCTAAGCCAGTATTTTCCACATTTGTTTTGACAGTTGCTGATGCAGCTCAAAAAATATATGGATCAGCAATAACATTCTATGAGGAAATTGAATTAGACATGGATATTTCAAATTTTAAGGAAAATCAACAACCCGCTGATGTACTCATGGAAAATATGAAAAATTCTGGTATGGAAAATTTCTTAATTTTGTGCGTGCGCGTGTGTATGCGTTACATTTACGTAATAATGATGTTATAAATACTGAGAGAAAAATTACATAAGTAATTGAAAATTTTCATGTATATTACGTAAATACAACGTCATAAAGTTGATTTAATAAAAGAAAATGAAAAGACCTTTTTCTTGTTTCAGTTGAACATGCAGAAATTGATTATCAACAATTAAAAATGAAAACACACAAACAATCTGGAATATTTAAAAAGCTTACATTATCACAGTTAGAAAAATTGCAATATACAAATCCTGCAACACAATCTTTAAATATTAGTAAATCTATATGCATCTTATCACATTGGCCATTTTTTGACACATTTGAGAAATTTTTAGTTTTCTTACATAGCATGTGTAACAACAAACCACAACATGTTCCTATTGAAAAGTATATAGCATATTTTTTGTACGACATACCATTTCCAAGTCCACAGAGACCGAGAATTCTTGTGCAATTAAGTACTAAAGACAGATTGATTTTGACTCAACCAGAAGATTTGGCATTACCTAGATCTGGTGCAAGTTTTCGACAGTTACTCATAAACTTGGGACCCGATAATTGTTTACTTATATTGTTATTAATCCTTACTGAACAGAAAATACTTGTACATTCGTTACGTCCTGATGTACTTACATCAGTGAGCGAAGCAATCGCTATGATACTGTTTCCATTTAAATGGCAATGCCCGTACATACCTTTGTGTCCGCTTGGATTGGCTGAAGTAATATATATTTTTTTTATCTGTTTAATTATAAATGACAAAGATAATAATAAACTATATATTTCAGGTTCTGCATGCTCCACTACCATTTTTAATAGGTGTGGATTCTAGATTTTTCGACTTATATGATCCTCCCTCTGATGTTAATTGTGTAAATTTAGATACAAATAATATAGCAATTTGTGATGATAAAAAATATTTAAATGTAAAATTATTACCAAAGAAAGCAGCTAGACAACTCAGAAATTGGTTAGAACATCTTTATTCAAAATTAATTTCTTTGGGCAAAAGTTATTCATCCATGAAAGGTATGTAGTGTTTTACTTATTCTCTTTTTATTACAGAATCTTTTACCGCAATAATTTTGCTCTTTAGATACAGAAGATGAAGAATTTAGTGTGGATAAAGAATTTCAGCAAAAACGAAAAGAACAAGCTTTGGAACTTGAAATACAAGATGCTTTTTTAAGATTTACGGCTACTATACTCAAAGGCTATCGTGCTTTTTTACTACCAATTACCAAAGCACCAACGGTTGGATCTACGGATCCAACTAGTTTATTCAACATACAAGCGTTTCTTAGAAGTCGGGACAAGGCTCATGCAAAATTTTATAGTATGTTAGTGAAAACACAAATGTTTATAAGGTTTGTTTTTATTAATACTACTATCTTTAAACATCTTTAAAGAAGTTGAAGAATACTATAAGTATTATTTTTATAATATATTTTACAATATATTTCTATTATATGTAATGTACTTGATATTTTTTAGATTTATAGAAGAAAGAAGTTTTGTGTCTGATATGGACATGGCGGGTTTAGCATTTTTTGACGAATGTACCGAACGCATCGAAGAAGAAAATGGTGAGAATGCACATTTATCAGTTTTATTACTCTAATAGATATTACTCTATACAAATTTACTTTATATAAATTATAGACAATTAATTTGAATAATATTAATAATTTTGATATTTGCTCATTCCATGCCGATATCAGGGATCAATATCGATGTCGATATCAAAGTTTCTTTTCAAAAATAATAGTTTTCATGTATGCTAATAAAATGTTTTTGCATTGAAAGATCAATTTTGTAGCTTAAAAAATTATAAATAAATTCTTATTTTGCAAATTTTATCTAAAATTGCCTAAAAATTAAAAAAAGATGATGACACTAATGGATAATGAAATCAGAATTTTTTTCTTTTTTAATAGTTACAAAACAATTTTTGGTCAGATTGATTTAACATTGTTACGGATAACATATAATTTAAATTTAAATAGTGAAATGATCGCCGTTTTTTCTTTGCGTGGTTTTAAAATTGGAATTCACTAAAGAATTATTTGTAATTTAGTGCTGGTTTATTCAATTTACAAAAAGCTTATTTATTTAGTGTATATATTTATTTTGCATATTTATGAGATTTATATTGTACTAGAATGTAATATAAATATAATTTTATACTACATAAATATTCCTTATGACATATCATAAAATTAAAAATTAAATGATTTTTTGTAGCATATTCCATAACTCTGAATACATATTCCAGTGCCTCTTTTGGAATTGGATGAATCTCAGCATAGTGAAAGAACAGTATTTATACCTCCACCTGAACCTGGCCCAAATAAATCTCCGATAATATATCGTACATTTAAATTGAATCCTGAATTAATAAGACCACAAAAAAATTTTAACATAGGAAATCCGAATTTAAGTGCCTTCGGAATAGTACCAGGAAGTCCTATGGCACGTAGAACCAAACACGAAATCAAGGTAGCACAACGGATGGCACGCAAACAAGTAAATGATACAAATTTTTTGAGTGTTATATCTTTGGATCAAATAAAATTAATTGTAACATTCTGAAACGTTTTTTCAGGCAGCAATGCCGGATAGGTGGGGTAGATGTCTACTTGGAACTTGTTACAGTCTTTGGTTTTTGCATTTGCCGGCTATGCTGCAGGTGTCCAACCAACCGGCTACGATTTTACATCAAGCTTATGATTTATTAGTTAAAATGCCAAAATTACATCTTGACCCTATCGAAGAAGTAAATTTTTTTATTCTTGTATATTTAAATAATTTTTTTACCGTTATATTATGTTAACGAATTTTACCGTAGAAGGTATCGATTTTAGGTTTGCTATAGAGCTATGATGCAACTTTGTGGTGTTTATGGACAACCTGTTTTAGCTGTAAAATTATTATTTCATATGAAACGCAGTGGAGTTCAGCCGAATGCACTCACATATGGATTCTATAATAAGGTTTGATTTTTTATATACTATAATATTTTGGAAAAAGTGAAGAATTGATTGCCTTCAGTAAAATATAATTCTTAGGCTGTACTCGAAGCAACTTGGCCATCTGATATGACAAACTCCAGTCAATTGATGTGGAATAAATTAAGAAATGCTATAGTTGGAGCTGCTCTATTTAAGAGAGCTGGTAAAAGAAGTGCTAGAAGAAGATTAAGTTCTAATGTAGAATTGCTATCTGTTGATGGCAAAATTGCAAGTATGGAACATGCATTTTCTAGATCTAGTCTTGATAGTTCTCATTCTCAAGACACAGAAGCCGCCCACAGTGATTGTGAGTATTGATCTATTATATTCAATTATTTTTTAGAGGTAGGTTTTCATTTCTTTTTTTTTTTTTCTTTTCTCGCTTTTTTGCCAATATTGATAGCTACTAAGGGGAGCTCTGTCTCAGATCTGCCAGAATATGGACCTTTTGAAATAAAAAAACTTCCTCGACAAAATAGTATTGTTAAAGATTCAGTATTAAGTGTTATGCCAACAGAGGAATTGGATATGTCGCTGAATCAAAGGTAATTTTTTTTTTCATTATTATATGTAATTTTACTTTTTCCTTATTAATGACTTATATTTGTTCATCAAATGTATTTCCTTTTTATTTTTAGAATAATTCGAAATTTAGAATCACCATTAAAAAGTCCTATTCGTACACCGGTCACAGAAAATGACCCATTAGGTGCTTTAATTAATGATGAAACTCCGATTGTTTCACCTTCCGAAGAAAACGATTCAAATTGTTCAACAAGTACTTTGACTGTTTTTAACAATGTCGAAGAACGTCCAGGAGGACCACTTTTGTTTCGAAGGTAAGTCTCGGTTTTTTAATTAATAAATGACGTATAGATTGAAATAATTAAAACAAATTTTTATATAAATATATATTGCACATGTGGTTATTTTTTTGCTAATAAATTGAAGAATTAACGAGTGATACGTATATTTCATATAAAAAAATTTTAAATCTCAGATCGTAAAAATCATTTGGCAATTTATACTTTAAATTTCAACATAATTTATGTACTTTATGGTGGAAATAGTAAATTATGTCTATTATATATATTTCTAGAATCTTGCAAATGTAGTCTAATATTGTTTCTGCTGTTATAATGAAATATACATAATATTATTATAACCTTTGTTTACATTTATATTGCAGTAATATTTTGCCTCGTAGTGCAACATTTCATCAAACGGTAGATGAAACTGGTGTCGCGATAGGTGGACATTTACAGAGGAGTGAAACCATGCCTCATTCTGTTGCACAACAAGGAGAACAAGATAAGGAAAGAGAACGGCTAGAAATAAGTAGCCTCTGGTCTCAAAAGGACAGTGTTACTTCCAGTCTTTCAAGCTTAGGCTCTAGTTTGAAACTCAGTTTTGGGTAAGGTAGACGTTACTACTGTTTAGTATTATAACTAACATTTATATTTACGTCCACTATTACATCAAATTAACATCAAGAAAATTATTTATTTCAGGCCTACTAGTTTGACAGGAAAGAAATCCAATGAAATAATACTCGGTGGTTTAAATAGTTTAAAATCTGCTGCTACAACAGTGGTAAAAAAATTTGATGAAATTAAGGAAGCTATCTCTGCAACAAGTACTCCTGTAAAATTGAAGGAGCGCGAATATAGAATACCACATGGTGCATCGCACGAATCGTTGGACTCCATGACAGATGGTTCTTTACAAGATAGAAACGAGCCTCTTAAAGTTACTGGTTTGTAACCTATAATTTACTATCTTTATGAAAAACAAGACTAGAATAAATATATATTTTAAAACGTGGATTTTAAACGATTCCTTATTCCATTAAAATAGGAGATGGAACTCTAGATCCTTATACGTTATACGATTTAACCGAATGTTTGTATCCAAAAGGATCAAGAGAATTAGATGAACGGATTGCTATCGAACTTGTACTCTCCAGTGCGAGTAGGTGTCATCATTGCGCCTCTATTCTTTATGATGAAGAAATAATGGCTGGTTGGCAGCCAGAAGATTCAAATTTAAATACAGTTTGTCAGTACTGTGATAAAGCAACAGTACCTTTACTTACTGTTACGATATTAGATTACAGGTACGTAACATTTATAAAGTCATTAAATATAATTTTCCTATACATTGCGTGGGTATACTATTTGTACATTTTCATATTTACAAAGATGCGAGGAAAATGAAAAGAAGAGTGACCCTCTAATGGGAGCTTTGGTTGAATTATTAGATAAACCGAAAGAATTATTAGAACCTATTACGGTGCCATACTTAAATCCTCTAGTTTTAAGGAAAGAACTAGAAAGTGTTTTAAGTCAAGAGGGTGACGCGTGTCTTACTAAACATAAATTTATTGAGGAACATCCAATAGTATATTGGAATCTTATATGGTATTTCGAAAGGATTAATTTAACGAGTCACCTTCCTGATTTGTGGTTAGGCAACGATAAGAAGAAGGAACAGATAAATTACAGTGCTGTAGGTGTCAAAACTATGTGGGATAACGAAAGGCTTCACATGGATCGCTTGCCTATGTATCTTCAATGGAAATTAAACATTGCAGATGACAAAACGTAAGTTAAGGTCTCTTCAATAATAGTAATAGTAAATTTCTTTAATTAGGAAGAATTTCGAAACGATACATATAAGTTTTTCATTTCCTTTTTGTAATATTATTGATTTTATTTTTAATACAAGTGTCATTTTTATTTGTTGTAGATTAATGCAGTCAGTAATCACGAATGTTCGTCGGAATGATTTAGCGGAACCTATAAAAAGAGTGGCCTTAGAAAGAAATAAAAATCAATCAACTAACCAACCGCTATTTTCTATATACCGAGATATTCTGTTTCTGGCATTTACAGTTTTGGGGAGAGGAAATATTGACCAAGGTATGTTAATTTTTATAAAATTAAAATTTTTCATTTGTCATCCATTACGTGTCTACCTAACCATATTTTACATGAATTATTTGTTTGTTTTAGGTGTTTTCGACAGAGAATACACTCTATCTTTGGAAAGACTAACAGAAAAAGAAGAGAAGCTCTTGTGCAAAATTGATGCTCCGCCCTCAATGATGTCAGTGTTTTGTAGACATTATTTTAAGCAACTAAACGTGTAAAGTTAAATTTGAAGATATATGAGAAGGATGCTGTAACATATTGTGAGAATATAAGAGGTGTTACAGATTTATCTGTAAAGCCTGATTTTTGGTGTAAAACAAAACAATGTAAAATGTCGAAATTAGTAGTATATTATACATTTTAGATAAGTATTTATGAGTATTAATTTCAAATGATAATTGGTAATTAGCATTGTTTTAAAAATTTAGACTTTTTTCACGATGAACGAAAAGATGAACGAATAAAATTTGCCTGAGGCCGTGAATATTTGATTATATAGGATAAGGTATTCTTCTTTTCATATCTAAAACATGCGATTACTATCAATAATTTTCTATTTAGGAAATGGTTGCATATACATTTTGTTATTAAAATGTGAATATTCATAGTTGTACCTATCAACGCGATAAGGAAAATCATTCAGTACCAAAGAATCTGACTTGGTCTAAAAACTATGAAATCATTTAGTTAAAATAACACAATGATGAAGAATGCATATAATCCTTGATATTCAAATTATCTTATTATATTTAAAAAATCATTTTCAATACAAAAATATGAATCAAATGTCAATTTTAATCTTGATTTTAATTTTAAGTAAGTTACGTAGTATCTTTTTTTAAAAATCCATCTAATTTCGTTTAGTTGGACAAACACTTCTACGTGTAACAGTACAATAATGCACGACCAATGATCAAATCATTAACTTATTCATAAAAATAACAAATGCTGTTTATATTTCTATTATTGATATTAATTTGCCGACTATAATATAATAATTGTAAAATAGTTTATAAAATATATTCAAGTTAAAAAAAATCTAACACAAGATAAAATATAATGAGCATTATTTGCGGTTAGAAATGGATATTTTAAATTGAATCTTTGTTACAGAATTTCATATTTATTGCATATAATAATATGCAGCTTTGATAATTTCCATCTACTTTCATATGTACGTATTTGTAATTTTTCTAACTATTATGAATAATTATCAAATATTTTAATATAGAAATGATCAAATTGGAGGAACATTAAATGAATGTTAGAATATTTTGTGCTACAATTAAAATTTGATATATTATTTGATTTTGATTGCAAATATTTATAATGAAATATATTGCTTTAATAAATATTGATTTTCAAACTTATTTTGATGCAGAAATATTTAATAGAATATAATATTATGTATCTAATATCTGTAACATCATTTTGTCCTGTCTGTCGTTAAATTATACAATAAATTGATTCATAAAAATTCTATCATGCATATATAATTTAACTCTGCACTTTTCAATACGATCTTGTACAATACAATACTGTATACTGTGTATTCGTTCGTTATTAAATTAAATTATGAATGTAAAACATAAATAAAAGTCAGTTATGATATTTTATATAAATGAGTTTTATCATCACTATATTGTTTTAGCTAATCCTTACTCTATTTTAATTATAAAAATATAATATCGATTACTAATATAAGATAGAATTACTATAATCCGTAGTAACTAGATGAAACGACTCCAAGGTATGTGTACATATACAGTGATATGAATATGAGTAAAGACAGATCTATAAGATTCGCTGATAAATTCAAAAGTTTGTTTTTAAAATCTTTTGAAAATAAAATTTTTATTTATAAATAAAATTTTTATATATAATTGCTTTCTCAGTTACATACTCAGATATAGAATTATGTACAATAAAATAATAATATTATCTTTTTGTCTTTCTATATTATATGCAAAACTGAGCATTTTTAACATATAAGGTAAATATTAAAATGATACTAAGATATATAAATATAATAATAAGAACAGCAATACACTTAAAGAACAATAATTTTGTATTAAATTTGGTTTTTGCACCCGAGATAAATATATAATCTAGATAATACATATCATATTCTACATTGTAAATCATTACAAACTAAAATATTTTTTTCAGATTTATATAAGAGTAAAGGTAAACAAAGACATTTTGAATTTTTTACACAAAATAACACTGCTATTCTGTACAGTATCTCTTATGTCATTTTTGTTATACGTTAATGTAAAAAAAGTGTTCTATGTCAAGATTATAACAATATTACACTATATCATAAATTGTAATATTAATAGTTTTAAAGCTTGCTTTTATGTAGTTTAAAAGTTGCCGCTAAACACAAATGATCACTTCCAATTGCAAAATTAGGTATTGTGGGTAAAGTGTTACATCTTCTAGCTGTTGGTAAATCATATTTTTCAAGAAGTTCCAAGCCGCTATAAAAGATATAATCAACAGTAATCCATTCGCCCTGATTCGTTGTAGCTTCTCGTTCTCCATGACAATTTTGATGTTTGTATACACTATCAAAATGAAAAGGATGTGTTAAAGTACCAGAACAGAATTTTACATGATGATCATGTGCAATTTCTATTGTTTGAAGATCAGTTGTATCTGCGTTCACTTCGCAATGATTTGACGAATTATTTGTTGAGGTGAGTTCTTCTACAGCATGTTCGCTATTTTCCAACTGTAACAAATCAAATATTCAATTTACCTACTTACAATGGAAATTACATACTTATATATTTCAATTTTTTAAACACAATATATGTACTAAATTGATGATTTAAAAAAAAAAAGAATGTCAAACAATTTATTATATTTTCAAAGAAAATTCAACAAATATATTTTCTAATATTTATTCGCTTATTTATTATTATTGACATACCATCACTTTATCTGTTCCTTCTCCAATTAATCTATGTTTTAAAACATTAAAATGTTGACAATTATCAGTAACGCAAAGTCGAGGAGGAATAAGAGAATTCGATAGAGATCGGTAATCTGTTCGTTCAAGATTTCTTCCCTTTCCTTGATATTTAAATACTCCCTCCACAATAAATTTGTATACTCCAGAATAGGGTTTTAAGTTAAAATCACCTGTGAGTATGATTGGAAGATATTTGGCACCCGTCCTGGAAGGAAAAATTTAGTTAATATTTAATATATTCAAAATATATTGCAATTTTATGATAAATAGAATAAAAACTTAAATAAGGTAAATTATTTACATTGTATCCTCTAGGAAAGCAATTCTTTCAATTTCTGCTAAAAGAAGTTGAGCTTGTCCTAGTCTCACATCATTTCTTCTTGGATTATAGAGTAGATGAGTTGTAGCAATCACCAATTGTATTTCGGGACTTTTTCTAACTGCCAGTTTTGCAATAATTCCAACATTATCTCTACTTAATAATTCTATACCAGGTTGATAAAGTTCAACCTTTACATAATCCAATAAAATAAGTTGATCAGATCGATATAGAAATAGCAGTCCATCTTTTTTATCATTTGTCCGCTTTTTATATAAGTAATTATAACCTAACTCTTTAAATGGAATCAAAAATTCTTCTAAATGTTCTTCTTGCATTTCTTGAAGACAAATGACCTGAAAAATTACATAATTTTTGTAAATATATATTTAAAATTAATAGATAATTAAATGATATTTATTTAATATCAATTTTTATCTAATATCATTTATTTATATTTTATTACTTTTGATAGTATTTCAAAATAAGTTCTTAGAATATTTTTTTAGACTCTATCTAGATTTTTTTTAGCCGCAAAAAGTATAACATAAAAAAAAAATTAAAAAGGTTCAAATAATTATCAGATAATGTACAATTGTATAATATAAAAAATTCATTCAATGGAATGTGCATAATTATAGAAGATGTTTCACTTTAATCTTCTCAGGCAAATATTGAAACAAAGATATGAAACATACTAAAAAATTCTTCAAACAAAACTTCTACTATAACGAGAGAGACGCATTTATATTTATTTGAATTAAAATGAAAAGTATCATTAAAATCATTGTAAGTCAAAAAATTGTAATGAATAACAGTAATCTGATCTATATCTCATCTGTGCTTCTAAATTATATAGGAATACGAATAAAATAAAATTTATTAATTTAAAAAACTAACATTAGCTTGCATTCTTAAAATCTCTTCTAAGAGAAGCTGCCTCCTAATCTCCCAAGATAGTGCCTGCTTGTCATGTGCCTTATACAAAAATGAATAAGTTTCCAGTAGATATTGTGCCAAAATGTTGAAGGATAATACTCTCAGAGTAAAAGATTCTTCAGAATTAGAGGTCAGCTTCTCTGGAAAAACGATACAATGAATATCAAATATTTCTTTTTATAGTATCTTTTTTAAGGTTCTTACCTTTCTTAAATCGTTTCCATTGTCGCATTGATTTATATCTTTGTTTGTCAGACATGTACTTATCCATTAAGAACATTGGAGATTCAACACATGTATTCGTCCCAAGTGTTTGTATGTTACTTTCACATGCTAAATTTTCTGATGTAAAATTTAATGGAATTTCATAATTATTAGAATTGTAATATGTTTCCAAAAAAGGATCCATTGATGTTTGACTTAGTTTCTGTTGTGCAGTTGAATTTGCCATTAAATTATAACAAGAAGATCTCTCAGATATTAACACGTTTTTACAAAAATTTCTCAAAAATACTTGTTTTACAGCTAGTCCGGACATACGAAGAGGTAAAAATGAAACAATATCATAATAATGATACTGAAACAATAACAAAATTATAAAATATTAATCTTTAAAATTTTATGTAATTAGTTTTATATTATTACAACTTAAACATATTGACAAATCCTGTTGTCTTTAAATATTCAAATTTACAATATAAATGTAACTTTTGACCAACATTTCATTCTTTACTTCTTTCTAATGTATTTATGATAATCTAAGATACATCATAATTTTTTATGAATAGTATGATTTATTTTCTATAATATCATAATAATTAATAATAACTAGTCTGTTTATGCACTTATGAAAAAAATAAATATGTAATAATCTATAAATATACTTGTTATAACATAAAAAATATATCAAACACTTTTTTTTGTTTCTCTTTTTTTGCATTAATAAAATTTACATTCACAGTCTATTAACAATGAAATAATGAACAATTGTAAACTAATAAAAAATATAATTTTACTCATTTTTTTTAACATTATGTATGTATCTTACCAAAATCAATAAGATATATATTACATATATATATAATAACATATAATATATATTTTAAAAATACATATATTTTTAATTGCTCCTAAATGTAAATGAAATTCAATATTCCAATCAATTCTTTAATATATAAGTATATGTGTAATATTATAATAACATATAACTATTTTATTAAGTAATAATTCACATTTATTATTAAATACATAGTATAGTCTTTTTTATATTAAATAAGAATTATAAACTATATTCCTTCAAAACTAAGCTATAAATTCAATATCAAATCTTTAATAACAAAACTTTTAATAGCAAAAATACTTTATCAAAGTATTTTATTATCCACATTTCCAAAGCCCAAATTTTAATATATGTATATTAAAATAATTTTAATATATATTTAATAATAATACTATAATTTAAACATCTTATCAACTTATTAAACATTTAATTTCTTAAAAAATATTTATTATATAATATATATCTTCTATTTAAATTACTTATAGTTTAAATGAAATTAATGTAAAAAGAATTAGCTTTAATTCTATTATTTCACTTTTATAATATTTCATAATATGCAAATGAAAAATTATTTAAAAAGTTGTAATAACTTAGTAATCATTATTTAGAAATGAGAATATCATGATTTTACTTATATTACTTCGTAATTGTATTTTATTACTTTAATAAAATATATTTGTCAAAATTTAATTTGATATGCTCCTTTTGAATTATTCTATTATTGTTAAAACAGGATTATTTATAATTCAGTGAAAAATTGATAAAAATACATTAGCATCTTTTTAAAGTAATGCAAATACGTAGTATTTGTAACATATTATACAAATACAGCAAGATTATAAAAAATAAGAAAAATAAATTTATAAAATCACGCGATATAAAACTGCAAGGCATGTATATATGTATGTAATATTACAATTTTGTACAAAGTAGAAAGCATAATATACGATGTTTGCATTAAAAATTTTTATTTATATAATTTTTATAAACGATCTCGTAACATTATGAATATAGTTTAATAAAATAAGTATTAACCTTATCGTACAGTATAAAATAATACATAGAAACGGAAAAAATAAAAAAACGAATAATGTTACCATACCTCAGATTTGTAACGAAACAGTTTGAAGAAGATGTCAAGTCTTTTAACATAAATTTTCCGTGGTAACTTGCTAGCTGTATTCATTTATTTATCAAGTAGTGGGGATATTAACGCATAACTATACGCAGGTGCATAGGTTAGGTTATGTCATCTGTTGTCAGAAAACGTAGGCATATTTTTCCTGCTGAAATACTGTCGTCACAATGCATACATGCAGTTGATCTGACAAATGATTTCCAAATCTTGTAATCATTTGATTGTATTTAATATTTATATTTTAATAAATTGCATACCAAATGGCTGCATAACAGTATAAACTAAAATTGCATCTTGATGAAAAAAAAGAATTTATTCACAGATGATTAGATACGATTCCATTAAAGCTTTAAATATGTAATTACTTCCATTCTAAAAATCGTATAACTCATTATACCGAATTCAATGCATTAATAATTTTCATCGAAATTTTAAGTTTATATAAATAATTACACATATTTATTTTATTAAGCTATTATTGTTGAGCAAGAATATAAACATATGTATGTAATTATCTGATAAATGAAAGATGATATTGTGAGGTACATATTATATGACAATAAGCTATATTTGATTGATATAGAACTATTCAGAATTTATAATCAATAATTCTATCCTTAGGCTGTTTTTATTGTGTTTTCCTGTAGTTTGATTTTATCTACAGACGACAACTCTGACCTCTTGCAGGGCTTCGTAATACTTGTTCCCTGAAATATTGTTTAAAAAAGACGTGAAAAGACGAATACATACACTTCATATATTTGTTTATTTTGCATCTTATCTCTGAGTTTATCTTTTTTCTCGAATGAATTTCTTTTCGTTGAATTTGTAACAATATTTCATCACATATTTTGACGAATAGTTTTTATTTTAGAAAATATAGAATTTTTTTACGAATATCTTTATTTACTGAACAAGAATTTCAACGATTCATTCTTTCTTTTTTATTGCTTAATAATTTTATCTCTTCAGCTCTTAATAAGAGAAATAACAATTACTTGCGAATCAAATATATATATATTTCGAATGTTTTCTAACAATTCCGATTGGCGCGCCAATTTGCTGCGCATTATATACGAAAATTTTAATAGAATGGAATGTTTATGTAAAATTCAAATTACGAATACTCACCTCTACGATTGTAGCATTGATAGTATTGTTTTCACCTAAAAAAAGAAAAAAAAAAATTATGCGCTCAATGCTAATGTAATTAAAAATATCGTTCATCCGATGTCTTCATTTTTAGGATTTCGATACAAGTTTGGGAACTTTTTACGTAATCTATATTACTACATCTAAATTACGTATTATATCATAATAAAATGCAAAATTTTATGGTAGTATTAATATTTTATCAATAAATAGCATTAATTTATGATGTGCAATGATACTTGTGCATAGTCATTTTCATCTGAGCAGGCTTGGTAATTGATTATTTTCCAAATATTACTAGTCTGAAATGTTACTATTTGGGAAATAATATGAACATTACTATTTTCGAATACTACTACCTGAAATATAATACCAAGCTATGGGATATAAAAATATCTATATAGCAAAAGATAACGCATAAACATTGTAAAACGTATACGTTTTAATTTATTAATTATAAGATTAAAATATAGCTTCAATCTAGGCATTTTCCATATAATATCTCTGTCTGACTCTGATATGAAAAATAGTAATCTTTCTCCCTTTATATCTCTTATTCATTACAATTATTCCTGTTGTCAGTATTAAAATTGAGATATACTTTCAATCATCATTGCAATCAATTGTATCATAATGTGAATAACGAAAGCAATAATATTATTTTACATATTATATATGGTATTACTTTATTATTTGAATGCGTAAATAAAAAATTTTATAATTCAGAAACATTGTACACGGTTTGCAATAATCATCAATTTTACATAATCTTTTTCTGTTAATAGTACTTCTCAAATATTTTTGTATTGCAATTTTTAATATATAATTTTTGAGAAATACCTTCTGACAGATTTTGTAGTTAATATTACGATACATAATATAAACTAAATAAGGAAATTTCCACTGAGTTATATGAAAAAAGTTAAAGATAAAAACATTTTAACATTACATGCTAAGATAACCATGAGCTTGATTTCGACGGCGACCAATCAAGTATGCGATCAACACTATAATCACTAATCCTGCCAGTGCACAGCCTACTGCTATTGGTACAACATCCGGTGTATCAAAAGCACAATCTTTAGCTGAAAATTAATAATAAATGGCGACAATTAATGAATATTGCTAATACTAGTCATATGTAAAAATATATACATATCAAATGATTTTTTATGATTTTTTTTTTAAATAGCAAAACAAAAGAAATTAATCTATAATATGTAGAACATTCAATAATAAATGATAAGAAATTTAATTGGTACTACTTAATCAATTAGTCAAAATAAAATAAAGATAAAGAATAACAAAATTGTACTAGTTATTGACATTTAAAAATTAATTATAGAAATGCGATAAAATTCTTTATACAAACTATATAAAGTATTCTAAATGATAAAAATCAGGATAATTATTCAACGACATTTAGTGGGACAAATTAAAATGTATATCTTAGACCATAGAGAAGAAGATAATTCATTGTGTGTTGAAACTTTATATTTTATAGGAAAAATCAGATTATTTATTTATATAGTTAGAGAAATTCATAAGAGAATGTTAAAGATCACTGTATAAAATTTTCAAATTTTTTTACTTCAGTAGATATTATCTTATAAACTTCTATAAAGTAAATATAAATGCACTATTTATGTTTTTTGTAATAAAGTACAGAATTATTGTTGAATTTTGTAGCTATTGTACTTATAGCTGCCATAAAGTAAGCTGCTGCATATGTATATAAACCATTCTATAGAGTAATTCCTTTTTCAAATTTTTAAAGCTAATAATAGTTTTAAATTAATTTTCTGTAATTAATAATCAAAGCTTCAATATTTTTTACTTTTTTATCTTATTTTTAACTCTTAAACTTTCTATCATCTTTTGTTATATATTCTGTGCATTATATAAATAAATAAATTTTTATATGTGTAATTTATTAGTAGTACCTAAACTATCATACTTACCTAAACCAAAAATAGTAGAATTATCTACTTTGAATGCTTGAAATTGGAAACCTGATATAGTTAAATAACCAGATGTTTCGTCAGTATTATTTTGTTTTAAGTTGAGCATCTGTTGTTTTAAGCATCTGTAGGAATTGGATAGTTTCACCACAAAATCAGGTGCCTCATGTACCAGGGTCACTGATGTATCTGTTAAGAAAAATACATTTATATATGTATAATAAAAATATAAAATGATATAATGAGAATAATAAGGTTGTATAATTAGTTAACGCATGCCATTATATGCTAACAATAAAAACATTTCTTACTCAGTGTTGTATTTGGAAAATCTGTTGGTGGAAGGACAACTTCCAAATGATGGAGAGAATAGTCATTCTCAGTATCATTTTTCATAAAATGCAATGTCATACTACCATTAGTTATATTTTTAGAAGCCCATTCTAATGTCAACGTTTGTTCCAACTTCCCACAAGATCCACTTGCTTTCGTAGTCACATTGTCAGTTGGTACATCAAATACCATAAAGGATTTCTGAAAAGTTCATTTTTAATTATTTTATAATTTTGATTAAACTGGATGACAACTCAACATAGATATGGGAATTATGGATATTTCAATGTATATGACAAGTTGAATTTTGAAATTCAAAAGTAAATCATTGATTAGTTGGCGAATTATTATTGCAAGTCACATTTGTTAAAATTGAAGTAAGACTAACGACTCTCTTTTGTATTATTATTTAATTTAAAAATTTGTACAAATTCTATTTGATAAGACTTTTAATCCCTACATTGTTATGTTAAAATTAAGTACCATTATATGTAAGCTATATTCCAGTAATTTATAATAATATGATAATATGTAAATAGTATAACATATTTTATACTTAAATAATACAAACCCTGTTATTATCATTGATGTAAGAGATATTGAACATTACAGACATCTGTACTACAATACATATTTTATCTGTTCCATTAGCAACTACCCATTTGCCAGCACTATGAGAAGTTGAAGTAGACTTTACTCGGGTATACACAGCTGACTTCGTTGTTGTATGTAAAATTTTTTCAGTAGATGTTTCATTTGTATGAATCAAAACATTTGCTGTACTTGATGATGTAATAGTAGAATGATTGGGAATAACTGTAGAACTTTGAACAGAACTTTGTTTAAGTAAAACTTCTCCTGATTTTAAATTATTTTTATCTGTTACAGGTTCTAAAGCAGCTGTCGCTGGTTCTAGAGGAACTGTTTTATTTAAGGAAATATTTGCTTCAAGATGTTCATTTTGCAAAGCTATTCCATTCTGAATATTTTTATCTTTGGATAAAATTTCTTTTTGTCCTTCACCTGTTTTAAAATGAATCAAATTTAAGATACAAGAAAAATAAAAATACTCTTATTAAAAAATCTTACATAATAAATCCACTGCATTATTAATTTACATATTAATTTAATGATATTAATTTGTATAATAATTTTTTGTATAATTAATTTGTATAAAAATTTAATGATATTAATTTGTTTAATTAATATAATAATTACACGTAAAAACAACAAATATATATTTTTATATGAGCTAAAATAATTCCTTAATACCAATATTTATTATAAATTATATATACCAATATTAATTATAAATTATATATAATACCAATATTAATTATAAATATATTATTAATTGTAAAAATTTCCTTATAAAATAAATATTGTTTTAATTATTATAAAAAATTTAATTCTTAATTATTAATTCTTTCAATTTCAGATATTTTTTATGATAAAGATTATTTTGGTTTATTATTCCTGTTTCCTTGATATATAGTAAATTATTATACTCAATATTATTATAATATATATTTAATATATTCAAAAATAAAAAAAATGTTCAATAAAATAATATTTATATTTTATATATAAATCTTTAACTTAGTGAACATTTCTTATTACTTAATATAACATGACTGTGAATCATGAGTAAGAAAAATATATACAAATATGAATCACAAAACTCTGGTTAAATCAGTGAAATAATATAGTATTATACCAATATTTTTCTATCTCGATTTTTAAATTCTTAAATTATTAATAATTAATTTATAATAGTAATAAATCTTGTCAATAAATTGACTTTATTAATTTGAACATTCAGTTCAATAATTTTATTATTACATATTATTATATTAATTTCTAACATTTTATCATAAGTTACAATACAGTATATTATATTTAATATATTAAATACATTAATAAAATTGAAATGAAACGAATAAGACGGCTCCTGAAAAACTTTACGAGTTTTAGGGAAGAGTGAAAATAAAAAATGTAATTTCACTATAAATAAGAAACTGTTCGTCATTTTTTTTGTAAAATATCAAAACTATACGTATATTTGAAAATTCATACCCAGAACGTGAACTGCAGTAAAGCAAAGGAGTAGTAAAAACTTTGACATCATTAGAAATTCTAATAGCTATAAATAAGCGAAAATTACTAAAAATTTGAACGTTTACAACTATTAAAGAAATTAAACAGCAATATAATTTGATGAAAAATATGTGAAAATACACTGCGTATAACGACAACGTAAATGTCGATACAATTCTGTAGTTCCTTGAAAATGTTGTTCACAAATACATATTGGACAAACTAAAGCATATACATATATTTTCATTAAAGGCTGGTTCACATTACTTTATGCTAGAGATGTCGTTTTATTAAATATTAAGCAAACAAAAAAATTATACAACAAAATTACTCATTTAATTGTTAAATAAGAAAATTAGTATCTATATCGAAATAAAATAAATATATATATTTTTTAATGCTTAATTTAATACTAGATTCATTTGAATAACAATAATTTCTAAAAATATATCTCTTTGTAATTTATATGAATTAATAAAACTTGGTTGAAATTTAATTGAATTACTAAAATCACTTAAATATACTTTTACTTAAAATATGAATTTACAATATCATTTAAATATAACAAAATTACGTAACAGGAAGTTGTTATATATATTTCATAAAATAATTTATGCAATATTTTATAATTAATAATAATTAATAACCGGCAATAAATTATCAAAACAATTTTTAATGCATAATTTTTTTGTATATCCTTTAATTAGCCAGCATTTGTTTATATATTATCATAAAAATAGTAATGTATACTAATAAATAATATGTGCTATATATTATATATATATATATATTATAACTTCATCTGTGTGATATAAATACACACACATATATATGTATGCAATATTAAATTTGCAATCAAATAGTTTGTAACAAAGGAAATAGAAAATAGTACGTAATTGGCGTATAATAAAATCAAGTATTGTTCGAGCAAGTATTTCGGTCTGTTGTGAGTAGATTTAATAAATCTTTATTTAAACATTTTGTAGATTAAATGGAACATAGGGAAAAAATTTAAGATTAGGAAGACGTAACTATAAAAATTCTCTTAATTCGTTTTTCAGTGTTAATAGTAAATTCTTATATTGTAGTAAAATGGTACTAATCGCTATTGCTATTTTTGTCGCACAGTATCTTTACGACAATGACATTTCAATAGACAAAGAATCTGCAAGAGTTGTGAGAGTTTAGTAGTGAATTCAAGATGATAATTCGATTGATAAATGGAAACTATATTTACAATTTTATATAAATATAATATTTAAGAATAACCTTTTAATGAATTACGATTTTTTTATTCTTGGCAAAATGTCGAGAAGCTCTAACAAGAACAATTGAACTAGAATAACTGAAAGTCCCGCGTAGCGAAATATTAAGGACTGATATACACAAGCGACGCTATTGCGATTTTCTTATTTCCGTGAAATAAAGCGATCTTATTTTTCTTGCTTTTATATGACAGATCGATTCTGCACATGATGATCTTATGACGTAACAATATTTTTAACATAAAAAAATATTGCAGTATCAAGATACGTTGGTACAACCATATGATTGCACATTTCTTATGTAGCATATTTCAATCAGCCAATCACAAGCATGCGATATGATTCGTTAGTTTCTGAATTTGAATAGCGTGCGCATCGTGAAGATTTTAATTATTAATTTTTCTAATTATATGTTACAGATAAATGTTGTTGAGAAGCTAACGTTTTCTGTTTTCCTGGAGTCTATGAGTACGCATTATTCGTTGTATTCCACATATCAAGTAATTTCTTATTTAATAAGTATGTAAGTCAAATAGACAGTAGCATCTTGGTTACAGACAATACTGCATGACAAGGATAAGTATATGGGAATGTACAGGAGCATAATAGTGTACGATAAAGATATATATATATTTATTTTAAAGACTAAAATGTAAACATTACAGAGGACAATATTGTATAATGAGTATAACAATAGCGATTTTCACCACTATGTGATATTGTTTTAGTATCTATAAATATGAGTCGATGAAATTTTTTACAAATTTTTACAAAATTAAAACATTAAAAAATTAATTTTTACAAAAATTAATTATAATTTTTTATGGTTACAACTTTTTATATACTCTACAATTTGGATTTCAAAATGTTCATATAACGTAATCGATATAAGTTGGACCGAGCGAGTGATATAATCGAGCAAGGAGTAATCAAAAACGAGGCGACAGGCGAAGTGTTATTTTTCTTTTCTGCTTATTTTTATATATAACATTTTTTCGTTTGATGTCTCGCTTTCAAAAAAAATTGAATTTAAAAATTTTATCCGTGCACATGGACTGTTTTCAACATATTGTTCGTTATAAACATTTTCATTTACACTTTTATATTTATTGCCCTCTGTAATGTTTACATTATCTTCTATTTTTAGTTTATTTTATCAGTTATCTATGAGTTGAATTGCAGAATACATATTTATAGTAAGAGTTTGTAATGGAAATGCATCAGCAGCAACTGAATATTATAGGTAACGATTTTTAAATTGTCGCCATCCGGACAAAAGGGTAGTCCAGTAAAATTAACTTAAAACATACACCTACGCTTAAGATTAATAACATGACTTTATTCATATTAATTTTAAAAAAAACTTTATATGCTGAATAATAAATTTTTATTTGCATTGAATGTCAGGTTTATTCTTAATCAACATTATTTTTATTTGTATTGAATGTCAGGTTTATCTTTAGTCAACAGCTTAGAAGTGTGAGATAGAAAAATATATTGGACAACATTAAGGCATTGATAATTGAGAAACTGATAAGCCTACTGTGTACCTCGTATGACTTTCTTTATGACGTTAAGTTTATTTTGTGCCTTGCCTATGTTATTGCTTTTAATAATTGAATTGAATATAATTGAATATAATTTCTACTTTCGCCATGATTGATTGAGGGCGTTACTAATCATCTTTGAGATTGGTAATTCATAATGTGCTACACGATGTCGCATCTATCCTTTTCTTAATTAATGGTAATAATAGTCAATAGTAGTAATCTTGTCATTTTTTGCTGTTATTTGAGCACGTGTAGTAATTGCAATTGTAGTAAACGAGTAATTGATAATTCTTTGCATAACACAATGGGGAAAGGGCGAAAACATATACCAAAACGAAATTTTGCAGAGAAACGGCGTGAGAAACAGAAGGTATATATTTAATTATTAAATAAATCTCTCGGTTGCGGAGATTTGCAATTATGTTTATGTTATACTATATACATATCAGTTTCTTATATGTTAAAAATAATTAATTGCTAACAAAGTTTTTTTTTATATAAACGGTATGTATATGAAATTTTTATAAATTATACAGAAGAAAGACGAATGGGATATTACTCCACATCATAATTATGCAGACATTATCAGAGAAAATAAAGATTTTGAAAATTATTATAAAACTGAACAAATTGTTCCTGAAGAACAATGGGATTCTTTTATCAATACCATGCGGAAAAATCTTCCAGTGGCATTTAGAATTACAGGCTCAAAAGTAGAAGCTAAGGCATTACTTGAAACTATTAAGGGAGATTTCTTTAAAGGAATTTTAACAACGCATATGGAAGATGATTCAAAGAATAACGAAGAAACTAAATCTAAGGATATATTACAATGCTTGCCATTTTATCCTGATGGATTAGCTTGGCAACTACAATTAACTAGAAAAGATATTAGAAGATCTGAAGCTTATTTTAGATTACACAATTTTTTAATTGTTGAAACAGAAAGTGGAAACATTAGTAGACAAGAAGTAGTTAGCATGGTGCCACCTTTAGTGTTGGATGTAAAACCTAATCATAAGGTACTGATTTAATAATATGTGTATTATATCAAATTTAATTTTAAAGTAATAAAGAATAATTATGTAAAATAGGTTTTAGATATGTGCGCAGCACCAGGATCAAAAACAACCCAACTTATTGAAATGATTCATTCTGACGAGGAAAGTGCATTTCCAGGTATTAATAAAATTTTAAGTGTTTACAAACAAATTATGCAAATTCTATTAATATTTATTTGCTTACAGAGGGATTTGTAATAGCTAATGATCTTGACAATAATCGTTGTTACATGCTTGTACATCAAGCAAAAAGATTAAACAGTCCAATTATTTTAATTACAAATCATGATGCATCAGTATTACCTAATTTCACTATTACTAAGCCAGATGGTACAAAAGAAAGATTAAAGTCAGTAAAATATATAAATAAAAATAAAATACTTCTATTTATAAGGTACTGTCATTTTTTACATTTTATTACAGATTTGATAGAATACTTGCTGATGTACCATGTAGTGGTGATGGTACAATGAGAAAGAACCCTGATATTTGGTGTAAATGGAGTCCAGCAAATGGTAACAATCTCCATGGGTAAATGTTATTTCATTTTAAATACTGCGCAGTTTAATTAATAAAAATAATTTATATCTATCAATTTAAAGAATTCAGTTTAGAATAGCAAAAAGAGGCTTAGAACTTTTAGCAGTTGGAGGAAGGATGGTATATTCTACTTGTTCATTAAATCCGGTAGAGAATGAAGCAGTACTTCACAGGCTTCTTGTTGAGACTGGAGATTCTGTTCGATTAGTTGATTGTAGAGATTTAGTACCTGGATTAGTGTGCGATCCAGGTATTATTGTGTATTGTGTACTGTATTGTATAAGTTCATTTTTGTATCAAGTATTTAACAATATATATACTATCTAGGCATATCACATTGGCTACCAGCATCAAAAGATCTACAATATTATAAATCATGGGAAGATGTACCTGAACAATGGCAAACACAAGTACGTCCAAAGATGTTTCCTCCAAAACCAGAGGATGCAGCTAAATTTCATTTTGAAAGATGGTAATTGATAGAAACTAATATTTTTAATACTGTTGTTGATTTACTCACATAATAATAATAACAAAACTATAACATAATTTTTCAATAATGCAGTATGAGGATATTACCACACCATCAAGATACAGGTGGATTTTTTGTTGCTGTTTTGGAGAAAGTAGATCATCTACCATGGGAACGCATATCACAGATGAGCAATGAAGTTACTCAAGTGATTGAAGATGGTAACACTGAATTGAGTTTGGAACAAGAACTGGAATCGAAGAATATACATGAAAAGAAAACATTTGACAATGACAAATTAATTGAATCCAGAAGAAAACGTAGAAGAATTGCTCGCGGGTTTAAGGAAGATCCATTCGTTTTCTTCAACGATGATAAAGAAGAAGTCTGGTCTTCTATTAAGTGAGTAGAAATTTTTTTTTTTAATTTTGTTTAATTTATTTGTAATATCGTAATTTTTAGAAAGTTTTATGATATATCTGATGATTTGGATCCTCGCTGTTTATTGGTGCGATGTATTGGTAGAAAGAAGAAAAATATTTATTATACATCACCCGAGATACGTAATGTTGTGTTATCTAATGAAGATCAAATAAAATTAATAAATACTGGTGTAAAAACATTTGTACGCTGTGACAATAAAAATATGGATTGTCCATTTAGACTTGCACAGGAAGGAATACAAAGTATTATTAAATATATTGGCGATAGTAGGAAAATTAGGATATCTAAAGATGATCTAATAATGTTATTACAAAACAATAGTCCTCATACACCACCTGAAATTGTGAAACTTAATCCAGAAACGCAACAACGGTTACAAAACTTTGGTAATATACTTTGTAGTATTGAACTAAATGTTTAATAAATTTCATTACAAATATTTTTTCTTTTTTTGTTTTAGCAACTGGAAGTTGTATACTTGTATATGAAGAAGAAGGAACTGAAAATCCATTAAAGTTACAGATGGTAGGATGGCGAGGTACAATGTCCCTGAGAGCATATGTTCCTGTACATGATGCAATTCATTATTTACGCTTATTAAGAGCTGATTGTTCGATGTATGGTATGTATTTATGAGGTATATACTATTATATTTAGAATATTATTATTATTATTATTTGGAATTGTTATTTCAGAGAAAAATAAATTCAAAGAAAATCGTGCTTCTCAGGAAGATTCTATAGTTGCGTCTGAAAAGTTGAGTGATGGGATTACTAGTGATGCTGATGCAATGGACGTTGATATAAAGAAAGACATAAAATCAGAACCTTCGGACGAATTAAAAGAATGACACATAATTTTGTAATACAAAGTGATGTTCCTTTAATTTCTTTCAAAGATATCAATATCAGTACGTTGTAAGAATAAGTAAAAAAATTTGCATTTATTTAAAATTTAATAAAAGTGCGCCATTTATTACGAAATTCTAATGCTGACATTTAGTACGACATACTGAATTGTATTTTATAGGAAAGAAATAAAATGTTTTTATAGTAGGACAAAGAAATGATCGTTAATTGATGGGAAACATCTTTTGTTTTACTAATTGTTTTCTATGAAACAATTTATGAAATTACATGTAATTTTCATATAATTTGCGCGACAGATACTTTTTCCTTTTGTATTTTCGGCCACTAAATTTGGGATAGTTTGTTGATTATAGTACAAATATTGTTATAAATATGGCCGGATGTAGAGGAATCGTTAATTCTTGAAATGGCTACATGCCATAGTGTTTAACAATATATTATTAAATCGTAGAGAATTTGTTTGCTTCTACTATATATTAAAGTTGGAAAAGATGAATATCTATTGCCTCGATGATATTCGCTTTAAATTATAATACTCGTTAGATTCTCTTTCGTTTTCAAATTTAGTTGATACCAAGGTTCTTCTAGATCCTACAGATTAGAGGATTTCAATTTATGATTAAAAATTTGTTTAACATGGAAATTTCTACTAATAAAGGACGGGTTTTGCTATAAAAAACATTCAAATACAAGTATATAAATATGAAAAATGCGTGTAGCTCATAACATATAGATAAACTATAAAAGAAAACAAAAGAAAAACCTTCCCTAAAATTTTTTACACTCGAAAAGACTCGAAGTTGATGGTTGACGCTAGTAATCTCTATTAGTTGGAGTGGTTATTTTTCCGCTGAGATTCTGAGAATTTGATGGAGATTTTGAACCTACAAACGAAACGCATTCATTTCGCATTCATTAACGCATTATATTTAAACAATATTAAACTTACAGCTTTTTCCTGATTTATTTCGAGGATTATTCGTACAGGGGTGATCACCCATCAGATGTTCTCTCCACTTATTTTGATTGACGAGAACGGAACATAATGGACAACGATCATAGCCTTCGATAGGTTCTGTAATAAAAAATGATATCTTTGGTAGTTTATCTTTTTCACTGTATATACTGCAACATTTTTGCATACTTGTACACTTGCTATCTTTCCTGTGTTCTTCAAAAGAATTTTCATGAATGGCTTGCTTGCATATATCGCATTTTACGTAATTGCTTCTCATATCACATTCATCTGAAAAATACGATGCATATATTTTTATGATTAAATACTACACACTGAATACAAACGAACAAACGAAATAACACTTACTTAACAAATGTAAGTTCAAATACGAAATTTCCACCACTTGCTTACATGCCTCGCATTTCGTTAACATAGGGCAACTTCTCCAATAATGAATGTTTAATCCCTCTTCGGAATATCCTTGTCCTTTGGAAAGGCAAAATATGCATATCCTAAAAAAAGAAAAAAAAGAAATATATTTTTAACGTGATATATGAACTAAATATTTGTAGTATGATCATATGTCACTCACTTGTCACCCTTATGTTCTGTACTATTCTCGGACGGAGATGTTATACTTGTTGAGCTTCCGGTACTCACAACAGGACTCGTTCTCGAAGGAGATTTCGTTAAATTCGCCACGTTATTTTCCGTGGATTTCGTCCGTGTGGGTGTCGTTGTTTTGTGACTCGCTTCCGTTTCTTTTTTTCTCTGTAACAAATAAGAAATATCGTTAATATATATATATAAAATTTCATTTCTTTCACCGGAAATTTAAACGAAATGACTATTGGATTTTCGTACAATTTTCTAGAATTTTTTTCTAATCTATAATTAGATTATATTTATTTAGATAATAGTAATGACTTAATACAAAATTAATAATACGTATGTTACAGACTGACTGAAGTCTTCGGTGCAGAACGATGAATTCACGTCGAGAAAATCAAGTAAACAATTTTAGAAAATTAATATCCGATTAAACTACGCTATATTTTATTTTACTTTATTTCGAGATCAATCAATTGGGCGATTTAGTGAAATAGGATTGAACATTGTCATTCAAATTGATATACGATTCGAAACATGTTTGGGAATTCTGTATGAATTTTGATTAGATCTTTGACATAAATTTGTATTATACATTTTTCGCATTATAACGAAGTATTTTGTAAAAACAACGTATCGAATCCAATTCTCATAAAAGGAACCTTTACCTGAAGATCAATGAGATCGAATTCGTGAAAAAGTTGACGATACAGTAGGTTCCTCCTGGTGATATCATCGTCAGGAGGCAATTGCTTACGGACCAATCTGGGATTCACCTTGTACACCAACACCAGAATCCTTTCAGAAACCTTCCTGACCGCTTCCGCTGGATGGTGCAATCCCGAAGAACCCAATTCTGACAAGGTCCGACAAGTGAGTCCACTACAACAGTTACAATGCCTTATCAGAGTAATTGCGTTTTAACGGGTCAGTCTTAAAAATTGAGGATGGACCTCTGCCAATGACATTAACAAATGAAATCATATCAGTTGTCAGAGGCAGTGGTCTTTAATTTCCTTTATATTTGATATTAAAAGATCTACTGTTGAGATTACGTTATTTTGAGTCACCTTTGTTTGTCAGTGGATATTCCGTGGTTTAGAATTAACTGCTCCACCATTTCTAGTCTGCTAAGGGCTAATCTTTGATGTGTGCTACTACTAACGGGTCTTGTCAAGTGTACAGGTATAATATGTAACTCTCTGACGCATTTACAATCTGCCATACTGAGTATCGTATGCACTGCCATATTATGAATCCTTGGAGTAGTGTCGCCTGACTTTGTCAATAACTCGGGGAGTAGTCTCTCCACGCTTCGTGCAATTTCCGTAGAAGATACTCTAGAATGGTAATAGAAAACTTGTAATCTGTAATAATTTGTAACATGGACATGTAAACTTTAAATACAACAGAGGAGCTCTCATATTCGAATTAACAGGGAGACAAAAATCTTCGTTTCCAAGTTTGATTTCTTCAGTCAAAAGACCTAGAACGCATTGATATTTTGATTAATGATATGTTATTGAATAATAATAAAACAACCATTCTTCTGATATTAAAGCATAAATATCTAAATAAAAATCGAGGAAATTATCAATTTCAATATTTTTTAATTATCGAATTACCTAAATTCTTAAACGCTTTGTAAAGGTACATTCTTTTTATTTTTCAAACTCTCTATTATTAGCAAATATTCTGGACTAAATATTAGATTATTCGATCATGAGAGATTCCACTGTAATATTAAATAATATATCAATTGTTATGCAATAATATATCGATACCTATCAATTGCAAATTCAGAGAAGAAAATTCGAATTAATTGTGCTGCTAGACTATACACGCTAAAAACTTTATCTCTGAGAGCTCTGTGCAGTAGTAAAATCGCAGCTCTTGCTGTTTTATTCGCGGAATGTTTGGAAACTTCCGGATCGAAAGTCTTCAGTTCCTCCTTCAATTGCATCAGACCTTCTTCTTTATCCGTGAATTGTTTCGAGTAAAATTTTTCAACCTAAACGATGAATGTTATTAATGATCATCTATAGAGTTAACTGAAGTAATTATCTGCGAAATAAGTTACCATTTCCATTCCAAAAACAGCGATAGGTAAGGCAGCTTGCTTCTTTTCCCTGTCATTCAACTTTGACACCACTTTCGTTTCTGTATTGTCCATGTGGCACTCTCTAGTAAACTCGTTCGTGTGCGAACTGAAATGAATGCAATTGAATGTAGTTTCCATATTATTGTTTTCCATTTTTTTTTTTTCTTTGCCTTACTGTCTTAAAGCAGGAATCGTCCTCTCTTCGTAAGCTTCGTAGCTGGAACGAAGCGCCGGTCCTGCCGATTTGGTTTTTCTTCTGAGGGAACCTTTGTTGCAATTGTTTTGTCTCTCCACAACACCGTTCGTAGGACTGTCTGTAACTTCTATGAAAGTAAACGAGATTAATTATCATTACTTTGAATTATTTTTTACATTGATTTATTATTATTTTATCTATCATGGCAAATCAATTTACCAGGACTGTTTGGTTTCTGATGCAGAGGCGAGACAGGTGGTTGATGTGCTGGACCAGTCGGCGATATAGCTCCATCGCGGTTAGGTGGAATCACTAATCTCGGTGGAGATGTAATATCTTCAGGAACAGTAGTCGTATTCGAAGTACAGGTGTCTATCGATATAGGTTCTTTCCCTTCCACCGACGATTTGTTATTCTTTTCCAGTGGCTGTTCAAACAAAATTATGATGAGGCAAGTGTCTTTATTTTAATTACACGCTAATTTTAAATATTGTATATTTACCCCGTGAAGTTCTAGTAGATCTTGCACCTCTAGACTCTGGTAGACTTGTTGTCTGTATTGTTGCGCTTGTGCCTTTTTCGCTTTGGCCTTGTCATAATCTTCTAACGCTATGGCATATTTCTTTTCTAATTCATACTTTCCAAGACGTTCACCGGCTTTCCTCAAGTTCTCCATCGCTACTTTAAGCTTCGAAGCATACTCGAATCTCTCCTCTAAAAAGCACAGTTCATATACAGTTCGTATCTTCATAAAATGTTTACTTATATCTGAACAATACAATTGTTACTGCGAATTTTCATGGATTTATTAGAAATGAATGCAATGCGTGTAACATATAATAATAAATATATATAATAAAAATAACTGTAATAAATATATAAAATATTCAAAGTATTTATTATAATATACAGAGTCTAAAGGTCTAATGTTTAAACTTTGCCAGTATATTCCGTAGGTAAAAAAATCTAAAAAGTCTATAAGCGCTTTATTAAAAAGTTATGATAAATATATGAAATATGACAAATACTGTTTCTTCTAATTTAACACAGGATAACCTGTTATGCTTATCAACGTTTAAAAAAGCCTAATTATTATACACACCTTCTACAGCTTGTAACTTTTTCGCTTCCATCTGTCTTATGATTTTGGCTACTTCACGATCGACATACATTTCAAATGCTAAATCATCATATGGGGACGTGTAATGAGGATTGTATGGTGCGTCTCCTTGGCCGGTCAGCTCTTGCCCGTAAGGTTCACCAAGAATGTTAATAGCGATAAGACCGACCTGCAATTCCAAATGACAGCTGTAATGCTGTAATGCTGTAACGTACATTGGGACTACGTCTACTAACTATGGAAGGCAGATACTTCAGAAATTGAAGAGAGTCGCAACAAGAAGACAGCTCCAGTTTCGGATAATTTTAGCGAATTAAAAAATTGCGTACTCTTACAAACGTACTACAAATTTATTTATTTTAATCTGTAAAATTTGGAGCCAACTTCTTTGTACATTAAGTGAAAGATCACATTCAATGACAACTTCATCTTCAGATAATTTTAATAGGCCAACAAGAAAGCAATTAAAAGTCAGGTATTGGGTATTCATCACACTTATTACTTGAAACTAACTTCTTCCTTTAATTCTAATAAATGAAAGATTACATTCTTCTAACGATATGTAGCAAAAGTGAAGCTGCAAAT